CCAATGCATGTTCCTGTGGGCAGGCAAGCAAGGAAGCCTAATACACAATAGGACGGGAACAGGGATAAAAGGAACTAGCTCTTCCCATAACTGACAAGCTGATCACTGCTACTCTATGGAGCTGGAACCATATCATTTGTAAGCAGCTGTCTAATTTTCAAAAATTCACTGATCGGACTATCGGATTTTAGGAGCCAGATTGTACCCAGAGTTAGATTCCTGCTATTCCACTGTAAATCAATGGGGTTACACAGAGGTAAGTGAGGGCTGAGTTTGAGCCTTAAAACACTTTTCAGACACAATTCTAGATGTACAACATCTCTTCCCTAAATTATGTGAGATTGAAATACTTCCCTCTGTGACCTTTTCTGTATAATTACATTGAACAATGTCACAGTTGCTTACAGTGGATTTCTTTCATGGAACAGAAAACGGATTTAGTGAAATTCCCTAGATGCTATATTTGCTTTTCAATTCCACCAAGATTAAAATAAAAAGAGAAGACTTTTTAACTGTTTTGGGTTTTTTAAGTAATGAGATGTCACAGCCCTCTCTTTAGGTATGTTTGTAATATCTCAGTTGGTTTCTGCATTCATATTTTTTACAATAGGACAATCAGTAATAGTATTTGAGCATGTACAGCAATTTTCAACTAAGGATCTCAAAGCAGTGGACAATAGTGGACAAATGTACTAGTATAGTGATAAACTACAGCCATGCTGAGGCTACTCGAGAGTCTTTAATCATACTCCTTTGTGTTTCTGTGGTCTTTAGCGGAGCATTACAGATGAACATGACCAATGAATTTATTATCAGTTCATGCATTAATTTTGTATAAGATCTTCAGAAATATGCATTGAGATGCACATCTTTGTGCATGAAATTATTCAGAGTGCGCACTCCAATTGGTTTCCTGTGCACACAGTCATAGTACCTAATTGTACATGTACGCAATGGCATGCATACAGTTTCCAATACAATTTATGCATGGTCCTCTAACTTCTTTAAAAAATGTGGCCCTGTACAATTTCACAGAATCTTCATTGTAGATACAGAGTAATGGACATGAACTTGTAAGTTTGTCACACGTTAATGGGGACGATGTATAGAAGTGTTTTAATATACCCAGGGCTGGCTCTAGGTTTTTTGGTGCCCCAAGCAAAAAAATTTTTGGCTGCCCCCCATCCCAGCCCTGGGCTCTCCCCCCCACCTGCACCCCTCTGCCACCCCAGCCCTGGGCTCTCCCCGCTGCCCCAGCCCTGGGCTCCCCACCACCAGTGCTGACTCCGCCCGGTCCCTCCTTGCCTCCAGCCAGTCCAGCACTGGCAGTGTCGGGGTAAGCAGTGGGGCCCCCGGGTTGCACCTCAGCTCAGGGTCCCTCCAGCCAGGGCTCCTGCCTCCAGGACCGTCCGGGACCTGGAAGGACTGCCCAGCAGAGGGCTGAGGAGCCGGGGCAGGGCATCCCCAGAGGGAGCAGAGCCCCGGAGGGCGGGACGCGGGCCCCGCACGGCAGCACCCTGGGCACCGGTCTCCACTATGGCCCCGCTGCTGCTGCTGCTCCTGGCCACCCTGCCGCAGTCCCTGGGTGGCTCGGGCCACTTCGCCCAGTCCCAGCTGCGGCACTTGCAGGCGGCTCCGTGGGCCCCGCGGGGTGGCCCCCAGCCCCAGTATCCCGCGCTCATAACGTTGCTGCTTCCAGGGCCAGTTCTAGGCTTTTGCTGCCCCAAGCAAAAAAAAAAAAAAAAGGCTGGCTAGAATGCCACCCCTGAAAATGTGCTGCCCCAAGCACCTGCTTAGTTTACTGGTGCCTGGAGCTGGCCCTGAATATACCAATCTTTTACCTGAGTAAAAGGTAAAATAAGGGTTCTGAGTTGAAATAGGCTGTAAGTGACAGTTTAATAATCTTTGCGTAGGGTCTTCGGAACATGGAACACGTTACCATAGCATCACACGTTTGAACATTCCAGCATGACGAGCACGTTCTGTTCAGGAGAAGTTAGAAGCTGAGAACAGTAGGTATGCTGCAAGTCCAGACAGAGTTACTTTCAGTGGGCCTGCTTTGTTTTATGTGTTTCTCTAGGCCATTGTTTCCACTGTACTTACAAAAGTGTAGTTAAGGTGGAGATAAGGTCACTGGCACAGAGGCCTCTGTTTCCTGTCCCCTTCCTTGTGTGTGTTCTTGTAACACTGATATTCTTTGGGGGGATCGGTGGGGATACCCTGAGCATTTTTGTTTGGGTTGTGAAGTCCAGAGTTCAGCAGCAATCTTAACAGTGTTCTTTGTAAGTGAATTTCCTTTGTTCTTTAAAAGGTGGGGTGGGACTGAAGGGATGGCTAGGAGAGTGGAGGCAGTTAAAGCACTGGCTTTGCAGCCTGTGAGGAGAGCCCCAACTCCAGGTGTGTCATCCTATTACAAGGTACAAGAACTTTGCAGACTGGGGGTATCAAACTAGGGTGATGCAGAGCCTGGCAGCCCTGTCTTGAATTTGAGCAACCCTTG